CTGTAAAGCTGCCGCCCAGTTGGGTGGGTGTGGAGCACATGACTGTAAAGCTGCCGCCCAGTTGGGTGGGTGTGGAGCACATGACTGTAAAGCTGCCGCCCAGTTGGGTGGGTGTGGAGCACATGACTGTAAAGCTGCCGCCCAGTTGGGTGGGTGTGGAGCACATGACTGTAAAGTTGCCGCCCAGTTGGGTGGGTGTGGAGCACATGACTGTAAAGTTGCCGCCCAGTTGGGTGGGTGTGGAGCAAGACTAGTAACTGTGTGACTCACCATAGATGTAAAGTGCCTTGTATAGTGACTGTTGTGTGCCTCTTGTTGAATCACTCGCGATATAAGAATATTATTTACATGAATATATATATATTTGTTTACATGGATGTATATATATATGTGTGTACATGTGTATGTAACATTAATAATTGTGTAACTAGCTTCACAAGGTTGTCACTTGTTTAGCTAATTTACGACCACTCATCGGCCCCTTCCTCCATCCACAATGGTACATCTAATTTAAAGCTAAAATAATATTAGTTTATCACCTACAAATCTTTTAAGTTCTCGTTCAGATAAATCTCTAAAGATAAGGCGATTACCTATCTTATCCCTGAAGTGGACTCCATTATCACCACACGGAACTACAGGACAGACTACGGGAGTTAAACCTAACGTCGCTGGAAGACAGGAGAGTTAGGGGGGGACATGATCACCACGTACAAGATTCTCTGAGGAACTGATAGGGTAGATAAAGTCAGGCTATTTAACACAAGGGGCACACGCACTAGGGGACACAGGTGGAAACTGAGTGCCCAAATGAGCCACAGAGATATTAGAAAGAACTTTTTTAGTGTCAGAGTGGTTGACAAATGGAATGCATTAGGCAGTGATGTGATGGTTCTCTGCTCTCTAGTGTCCTATTATTTCTGTGGATCCTCCACGTCCTTGTACTTAGTTGCTTTGCTACGTTACATCTCTGATTAAACCATTGGCTTCTTACCCTTTGTACTGGGACGAACTTGTCTGCCGCCTCCTTACAATGTCTGTGTGGCGAAGTCCATCATGTCTTGGGCCGTTTTTTCTCTGAGCTCTGTTTCCCAAGTTATATATGTTAGAAATTTTCTTATTTACTCATAGTTTCCCTTTCGGAATGCCAATACTCCAACATTAATACACTGTGGTCGCTCATTCCCACGGAGGCTTCGAAAACGATTTCCCTTATATCAGAGTCATTCAGAGTGCTGACAGAAAGTTTCTTGTCGCCACATCCAAAAGTTTAGCTCTCCGTGTTTCCTCACCTCCATGTTGTTCCCTGTTTTCCCAGTCTATCCTTCCGTGATTGAAGTCCCCCATGATAAGCCAATGGGACCTATTTCTACAGGCAGCAGAGGCTGCTCTCTCAATTATAGTGTTAACTGCCATGTTGTTTGTCATACTCTTGCCTGAGTCGCCTGTCATTTGGTGGTGGGTTATATATCACTGCTACTACTACTCTTGGTCCTACCATCGTCATGGTGCCTGCAATGTAGTCTCTGAACCCCTCGCAGCCTGGGATAACCATCTCAAAACTCCATTCCTTTCTTATCAGCAGGGCCACTCCGCTTCCTCCCCCTTCATTCCCCCTCTTTCTCCCTATTATAGTGTAGTCCTGGGGAAACACCGCATTCGTTATGATTCCTGAGAGTTTTGTTTCCATAAGTCCAACTACATCCGGGTTTCCTTCTTGTGCTCTTTCCCTAAGTTCACTTGCCTTGCTTGTGTCCCGTCTATGTTCGAGTACATTACCTTGAAACTCACTCTCTTCTTTCCATCCTCAGTTTCTGTTAAATCCAATGGAGTAGGGGGACATGGAGGTGTCCAGGGCGGAAGGGTCTCTGAAGGAGGACCTGGGGGATCCGGGGGGAAGAGGGGAGCCGGGAGGATCCGGAATGGGGAAGCTAGGAGGGGTCTGAGGTGGAGTAGCTGAGAGGGATTGGGGTTGGGGTCAACTTGGGTTTGGGATGGGGGAGCAGGAGGGGCATGTGGAAGGGGGAGGGAGGTCATTGGTTGGAGAATTACGGGGAGCCAGAAGGACAGGGGTTGGGGAGGGAAGGGGAACCTGGGGTGGGTGGGGGAGGAAAGAGAGGGAGGGGGGTTAGGTAGGAAGGAGAGCTTGGGGTGGGGGTACTGGGGAGGGCATGGGGGTGGGGAATGTGGGCATAGTGTTGTACCTTGTTGTACTCACCTAGTTATGCTTGCGGGGGATGAGCTCTGGCTCTTTGGTCCCGCCTCTCAACTGTCAATCAACACGTGTACAGATTCCTGAGCCTACTGGGCTCTATCATATCTACGCTTGAAACTGTGTATGGAGTCAGCCTCCACCACATCACTTCCTAATGGTCTCTATGGCTTATTTGGGCACTCAGTTTCCACCTGTGTCCCCTAGTGCCTGTGCCCCTTATGGTAAATAGTCTTTATTTACCCTATCAATTCCTCTGAGAATCTTGTATGTGGTGATCATGTCCCCCTCTAACTCTTCTGTCTCCCAGTGACATGAGATTTAATTCCCGTAGTCTCTCCTTGTAGCTCATACCCCTCAGTTCGGGTACTAGTCTGGTGGCAAACCTTTGAACCTTGTCCAGTTTAGTCTTATGCTTGACTAGATATGGACTCCATGCTGGAGCCGCATACTCCAGGATTGGTTTGACATATGTGGTATACAAAGTTATGAAAGATTCCTTACACAAGTTTCTAAAGGCTGTTCTTATGTTAGCCAACCTGGCATATGCCGCTGACGTTATCCTCTTGATATGAGCTTCAGGGGACAGGTCTGGCGTGATATCAACCCCCAGGTCTTTGTCTCTCTCTCTGACTCTTGAAGTATTTCATCTCCCAGATGATACCTTGTATCTGGCCTCCTGCTCCCTACACCTCTCTTCATTACATTACATTTGCTTGGGTTAAACTCTGACAACCATTTGTTCGACCATTCCTGCAGCTTGTCCAGGTCTTCTTGAAGCCTCAAGCTGTCCTTCTCTGTCTTAATCCTTCTCATAATTTTGACGTCGTCAGCAAACATTGAGAGGAATGAATCTATACCCTCTGGGAAATCATTTACGTATATCAGAAACAGGATGGGGCCGAGTACAGAGCCCTGTGGGACTCCACTGGTGACTTCACGCCAATCTAAAGTCTCACTCCCTTATCCACTGGAGCGCCCTACCAGTTACTCCTGCCTGTTTCTCCTGCTTATGCATCAGCCTTTTATGGGGTACTGTGTGAACGGCTTTTCAACAGTCCAAGAAAATGCATTCTGCGCACCCGTCTCTTTCTCGCTTAATCTTTGTCACCTGGTCGTAGAATTCTATTAAACCTGTGAGGCAAGATTTACCATTCCTAAACCCATGTTGGTGTGTCACGAAGTCCCTTCTCTCCAGATGTGTTACTAGGTTTTTTCTCACAATCTTCTCCATCACCTTGCATGGTATACAAGATAGGGACACTGGCCTGTAGTTCAGTGTCTCTTTGTTTCAGTACATTACACTTACTGACTACCTGTACGAGTATTTCCTTACGTTCCTTTGGCTCATTTACTTTTTCAGCTTTATTCTCCTTTTCTTAAAAAACAGAATTTCAATTTGAAGAGGCTATCCTTGTGCACCTTGCCTACTCCCCTCAGTATCTTGTACACTGTAAACACATCACCTCTTCTATCATTTAACGTTGGGACTGAATTCCAGCAACCATTTGTTTGACTACTACTAGAGTGATCAGACCACACCCAAAAGCCTCCATCATGAACCACCACCACGCACGATTGTCGTCACCAACCACTACCACTACCACCATAATGGTTTTAATTAAGTCGAGTGCAGTTTTCATTCCTGGAACTTGGGAGTGGTTTAAGGAATGGTCGTTGGCCAGTTATGGTGTTGTCCCTCTGGCCAGCCCTGCCACTACCTCTCTCCCTGCTCCTGTGTCTCAGCCTGCACCTGTCCCTCTACCTGCTCCTGTCCTGTGCCTCAGCCTGCACCTGTCCCTCTCCCTGCTCCTGTCCTGTGCCTCAGCCTGCACCTGTCCCTCTACCTGCTCCTGTCCTGTGCCTCAGCCTGCACCTGTCCCTCTCCCTGCTCCTGTCCTGTGCCTCAGCCTGCACCTGTCCCTCTACCTGCTCCTGTCCTGTGCCTCAGCATGCACCTGTCCCTCTCCCTGCTCCTGTCCTGTGCCTCAGCCTGCACCTGTCTCTCCCCCTGCTCCTGTCTTGTACATAAGCCTGCACCTGTCCCTCTACCTGCTCCTGTCCTGTGCCTCAGCCTGCACCTGTCTCTCCCCCTGCTCCTGTCGTGTACATCAGCCTGCACCTGTCCCTCTACCTGCTCCTGTCCTGTGCCTCAGCCTGCACCTGTCCCTCTACCTGCTCCTGTCCTGTGCCTCAGCCTGCACCTGTCTCTCCCCCTGCTCCTGTCGTGTACATCAGCCTGCACCTGGCTCTCCCCCTGCTCCTGTCCTGTGCTTCAGCCTGCACCTGTCTCTTCCCCTGCTCCTGTCGTGTACATCAGCCTGCACCTGGCTCTCCCCCTGCTCCTGTCCTGTGCTTCAGCCTGCACCTGGCTCTCCCCCTGCTCCTGTCCTGTGCCTCAGCCTGCACCTGGCTCTCCCCCTGCTCCTGTCCTGTGCCTCAGCCTGCACCTGGCTCTCCCCCTGCTCCTGTCCTGTGCCTCAGCCTGCACCTGGCTCTCCCCCTGCTCCTGTCCTGTGCTTCAGCCTGCACCTGGCTCTCCCCTTGCTCCTGTCCTGTGCCTCAGCCTGCACCTGGCTCTCCCCCTGCTCCTGTCCTGTGCCTCAGCCTGCACCTGGCTCTCCCCCTGCTCCTGTCCTGTGCTTCAGCCTGCACCTGGCTCTCCTCCTGCTCCTGTCCTGTGCCTCAGCCTGCTCCTGTCGTGTACATCAGCCTGCACCTGTACTTGTACCTGGTTCTATATTTGTTCACCACTGACCTGCATGTAAGCAGAGCTCCCTACTAATAGCTATTGTTCGCCCTTATCATGAACAATAGTTACACTATCAGGAACAATAGTTACACTAGCAGGAACAATAGTTACACTATCAGGAACAATAGTTACACTAGCAGGAACAATAGTTACACTATCAGGAACAATAGTTACACTAGCAGGAACAATAGTTACACTATCAGGAACAATAGTTACACTATCAGGAACAATAGTTACACTATCAGGAACAATAGTTACACTATCAGGAACAATAGTTACACTAGCAGGAACAATAGTTACACTATCAGGAACAATAGTTACACTATCAGGAACAATAGTTACACTATCAGGAACAATAGTTACACTAGCAGGAACAATAGTTACACTATCAGGAACAATAGTTACACTATCAGGAACAATAGTTACACTATCAGGAACAATAGTTACACTATCAGGAACAATAGTTACACTAGCAGGAACAATAGTTACACTATCAGGAACAATAGTTACACTATCAGGAACAATAGTTACACTAGCAGGAACAATAGTTACACTATCAGGAACAATAGTTACACTATCAGGAACAATAGTTACACTAGCAGGAACAATAGTTACACTATCAGGAACAATAGTTACACTATCAGGAACAATAGTTACACTATCAGGAACAATAGTTACACTATCAGGAACAATAGTTACACTATCAGGAACAATAGTTACACTAGCAGGAACAATAGTTACACTATCAGGAACAATAGTTACTTCTCTGCAGTCATTTGCATCTGCGTAAATTACTCAACATTTCAAAGTAATTATTGTTAACATATGAAAGTAATGGAAATACAGGACCGCCCTGATGGGAGGTTGGCGAGCTGTGATTGGTCAGTGTTCAACCGTCACTTTCCACCACCACTCAACTTGAACACTGCAAGCTCCAACAGACCTTACCCTACAGACCTTACCTGACAGACCTTGTAACACTGTAAAAGTGTTTGAGTTAGTTTATTTAAAATATATATAGAGTACATGAGTCACAGACAAGGATCTGAGAGGCGCCAGTTGTCTGCCTGAGATCTCACACCTCAAAGCGTTAATGACCTCAAGTGACCTGAGGTCAGATCATGAGAATTTCACCTTGCTTCCGCTAAGCTCTTAATTGTAGTCTGGTAGCCTTCAAACAAGCCGACGCTTAAGGAGTGGCTTGGTAGTGCCGGAGGCTATCTATTTGTGGGCGGAGTTAGCTACTAGGTTCCCCAATATAAACTCGGAGAGCTATCGAGCAAGGATTAACAGACAGAGCAGCAGACGAGCCAGGAGAGCAGAGAGAAGACAGCCCTATCAGGGAGGCTGTCGGCCGGCAGGGCGGGAGTCTCTGTCAACTACAGACCCCCCCCCCCTCTCTATCCAGCTATAGGCAGAGACACTTGGTGAGTTGAGCATTGAGGTGACTTGGTCGTGTTTACATATGTTGTGTGATGATCAGGGGCAGTCAAGTTGTAGGGTTCTCGAATTCTTGGATGATGACTCTCTTTAACATTTGAATTGGATTGCTTATATTATGATACTTCATGTGAAATATAATTATGAATTTATTATTTAAATTGTGTTTAACTTTGTGCCCTAGAGCTTTGAGTTGAGGATTTGAGAAAGCCTCAGTGGTTACTGGGTTCATGATATAAATGAGTACATGTTTGGAGTTGATACATGCAAGTTCCATTCCTTGTCTTGTATGTAATGATCATGAATGGATGGTGGCAGCATTTCGTCTTCTACTATCTACTCTTCTACTTCTACTATCTACTCTTCTACTTCTACCTATCTACACCTCTCCCTCCACCCTTCTCTAAACTCTCACTTTCAACTAATGACCCTCCTCGCTCCTCCCACCTCCCTACCTCTCACCCCAAACCCTCACTAATTACTTCACTATTCATTTCTTTCCTTTCGTTTCCTCTTATACGTTTGTGGCAATGATTCTGTATTCTAGAGTTCTCTCTAGAGTTTCGGGTAACTGATCAAGTGACGGCGCCTTGTAGTCTTAGCACCTAGATAGTCGAATACCTAGGTTACAAGGTGTTGAACGAGAGAGGTTGCCTTAGGATCTCTGGAGGGTGCTCTAGAATAGTTAGCTAACTGGGGACGGGATAACGGACTAGAGAGAGCTGTTTCCCCCGGCTTCGTTAGTTAACTGGGGGGTGGAATAATGGACAAGATAGAGCTATTTCCCCCACCCCCCGTTACAATGTTGGCAGCGGTGTTGAACAATGTTGTAGGTAGTTGGTGTTCTTTTAACATTGTTCAGTCCCACGTGTCTTTTTGCCGCTCAGGCGCTATCAGGGAGATCTTGACAGGTGTTTATTATTCGCGAGTTAGCGAACTTTTTTTCAGGTTAGGAGATAGTGATTCTCTGGTGTTGTGTTTAGTGATTTTGTGAGTTTTGTGTAGTTCAGGGAATGTTCACCAGAACTTGCGTGTGTAGTGATTCATGTTAGTAATAAGATTTGGCGATTTGGGAACTTAGCGGTGTTGGTAGTGCAGGTCAGCTGAGTGTGACAGGTGACCTCGCATGTCCCACGGGGACACCCAGCCACCGCTGGTCTCCAGGTCAGTGGGGAGTGGCAGGTGTAGTTCTTAAGTAGTTTTTAAGTGGTGGTTCTGCTCAGATTATTGCGATCGACTGTTTTACTCCATTTGAACGCAATAACCCGAGGTGTACTGGTCTTGTACAGCATGCTAGGGGGAGACTTAGTATGTCAGTAGACTTCACGTTGGGGACGCTCGACGTTAGATAGTCTGGTCACAGGGGTGACAACAGTTTGAGTTGTTGACCGGCGGAGATGCTAGGGAGACACTCTGGGTCACATAGGTGGCTGTAGGTTAAGGGTGGGAGTAACGGTTAATTATGTACTTAAGATTAGGAATGGTACAGTTAAGTTTAGGCTAGTGTTTTGTCTATTAGTGTTGATTTTTTTTTTTTGTGACAAGTTAAAAGTAGTGACGATCTTATTCTCTCTTCTCTAACTTTACTCGGTTACTGTTTTATGTTCCACCAAGTCAATATCATTCAGAGTTAATTGAATTATTAAAAATTGAAGTGTAGTTGTTGCCAGGAGGAGAGCGTTATGTTATGACTGTGTAACCCTATACAAACTACAGGGTCACACAACAGCATGGAACACGGGTATTGTCGCCTTTATGTTCATCCACAGGTGGGAGCCCGAAGAGAGGAGAGGCGCGACGCATATGCAGAAGAGAGAGACGGCTGCTGTGTACCACACTCAGGGAAGTTCCTCACCACCACGACGACCAGCCCCTACCTGGATGTCAGGGCCACCACCACCACCATCACCCCAGGGGACCCCGAGATACAGCCCTCTCGGTCGGTCAACATTGGTCTACCCAGTGGACCCCGAGACGGACGGACCCCAGGGGACCCCAAGACGGACGGACCCCCAGTGGACCCCAGGTCGTTCTGCAGACGAACCCAGACGACCCAGTAAAGATGGAAGGGGAACAACGACTCCAGTCTGTCCCACCAACATCGGTCTACCCAGGACGGACCCCAATGGACCCCAGGTCGCTTGTCAAAGACCCATGGGAGGAGGAAGAGAGAAGAAAGAAGAGAGAAGAAGGAAGAGAGAAGAAGGAAGAGAGAAGAAGGAAGAGAGAAGAAAGAAGAGAGAAGAAAGAAGATAAGACAAGCTGAGTGAGACACGATACCTAGTGTCCCTTGCTGGTGTCAGCATCATTGCATGGAGCGTAATTGCAAGACAGGATCGTTTGCCTTGACTGGCCGCCCCTCCTACAAGCATGTTGCTCTGTTGAGTGATTCTTCCTGTGTCATGCGGACTTGATGTGGCTGTCAGAAGTAGCTCTCTGAAGGAGGCGTGCTGGAGCAACAGGGAGGAAGAAGAGTAGGATGGGATTTCTACTGTTGGCAACTATATGAAGGTCTCGAAACTTGTAGTCCCTATAGCTGTGAAGAACCCCAATATACGTCTCTCATGGTGACTGACGTAGGGCCAATTACAGATCAGCTGGGACAACCGAATTCCACGGTCCTGTGCGCAGTTCAAGTAGTAACGGCTTTCGGGTTGACCAAGGGTTGTTGTGCGTTAACGACGGAGGCAGTTGTGTTGAAGAAATGTGGTACAGGATTATCTACAAGACCAAGCAGTGACGTCGCCCAGCCAGAGACAATGGACGTCTGTCTACATATTTCATTTTTTTGAGTAGGATGATGTATATTTGTTTAGCTAGGATGTATTTTTTTTTTTCGTTAATAAAGTTGTTGCACACAGCTAGCTTGCTTTAGCAGTGTTGCAAAAACTTTATTTCGGGGAGAAGGGGAGATGTAACACTGTAAAAGTGTTTGAGTTAGTTTATTTAAAATATATATAGAGTACATGAGTCACAGACAAGGATCTGAGAGGCGCCAGTTGTCTGCCTGAGATCTCACACCTCAAAGCGTTAATGACCTCAAGTGACCTGAGGTCAGATCATGAGAATTTCACCTTGCTTCCGCTAAGCTCTTAATTGTAGTCTGGTAGCCTTCAAACAAGCCGACGCTTAAGGAGTGGCTTGGTAGTGCCGGAGGCTATCTATTTGTGGGCGGAGTTAGCTACTAGGTTCCCCAATATAAACTCGGAGAGCTATCGAGCAAGGATTAACAGACAGAGCAGCAGACGAGCCAGGAGAGCAGAGAGAAGACAGCCCTATCAGGGAGGCTGTCGGCCGGCAGGGCGGGAGTCTCTGTCAACTACAGACCCCCCCCCCTCTCTATCCAGCTATAGGCAGAGACACTTGGTGAGTTGAGCATTGAGGTGACTTGGTCGTGTTTACATATGTTGTGTGATGATCAGGGGCAGTCAAGTTGTAGGGTTCTCGAATTCTTGGATGATGACTCTCTTTAACATTTGAATTGGATTGCTTATATTATGATACTTCATGTGAAATATAATTATGAATTTATTATTTAAATTGTGTTTAACTTTGTGCCCTAGAGCTTTGAGTTGAGGATTTGAGAAAGCCTCAGTGGTTACTGGGTTCATGATATAAATGAGTACATGTTTGGAGTTGATACATGCAAGTTCCATTCCTTGTCTTGTATGTAATGATCATGAATGGATGGTGGCAGCATTTCGTCTTCTACTATCTACTCTTCTACTTCTACTATCTACTCTTCTACTTCTACCTATCTACACCTCTCCCTCCACCCTTCTCTAAACTCTCACTTTCAACTAATGACCCTCCTCGCTCCTCCCACCTCCCTACCTCTCACCCCAAACCCTCACTAATTACTTCACTATTCATTTCTTTCCTTTCGTTTCCTCTTATACGTTTGTGGCAATGATTCTGTATTCTAGAGTTCTCTCTAGAGTTTCGGGTAACTGATCAAGTGACGGCGCCTTGTAGTCTTAGCACCTAGATAGTCGAATACCTAGGTTACAAGGTGTTGAACGAGAGAGGTTGCCTTAGGATCTCTGGAGGGTGCTCTAGAATAGTTAGCTAACTGGGGACGGGATAACGGACTAGAGAGAGCTGTTTCCCCCGGCTTCGTTAGTTAACTGGGGGGTGGAATAATGGACAAGATAGAGCTATTTCCCCCACCCCCCGTTACAACCTTACCCTACAGACCTTACCCTACAGACCTTACCCAACAGACCTTACCTGACAGACCTTACCCTACAGACCTTACCCTACAGACCTTACCCTACAGACCTTACCCTACAGACCTTACCCAACAGACCTTACCTGACAGACCTTACCCTACAGACCTTACCCTACAGACCTTACCTGACAGACCTACCCTACAGACCTTACCCTACAGACCTTACCCTACAGACCTTACCCTACAGACCTTACCCAACAGACCTTACCCAACAGACCTTACCCAACAGACCTTATCCTGTAACACCACTCTATTGTAACACCGCCACTAAAATGCACCCTATAATGGAACACCTCTATAATGGAACACTAAACTAATAATGTAAACACTACTTATCCTGAGTAACACTTCCCCATCGGTTGCCCTTGATAACACTGTTATGAAACACGGTAATGTGAGCTGACATATGATGGTTACACCGGAACCAAAGGTACACTGCAAAAATGAGGAAATGCTAACACAAGGATTAAATAACGCTGCCACCATCTGCCTTGACCATTGAGACTATATCAAGCAACGAGGCAAGAAACATTGCTTGACTTGGAGAGTACTTTCTATGACTGTCATTAATTATGAAAATGGTTGTCAGCCACTATATCCAAAAGGCTAAGAGGATTCAACAATTGACACAGACGGGAAATTTATCCTGAGTTTATTAAAGACCAAAATTATGTCAATCACCACTTATAAATCCTACTCTAACACTGGCAAAAATTTAAGAAATTTGGACATGGAACAAAACCTCAGAGATCACACACATTACCTTAAAACCTCTGTCTCTCCCTGGCTGAGATGTTCTTCACAGCCCTCTCTGGGCCCCGGTGTCCGGCAACCATTTTCATAATTAATGACAGTCATAGAAAGTACTCTCCTAGTCAAGCAATGTTTCTCGCCTCGTTGCTTGATATAGTCTCAATGGTGAAGGCAGATGGTGGCAGCGTTATTTAGTCATGTTTAACATTTCCTTGTTGGCAGTGTACCTTTGGTTCCGGTGTAACCATCATATGTCAGCTCACATTACCGTGTTTCATAACAGTGTTATCAAGGGCAACCGATGGGGAAGTGTTACTCAGGATAAGTAGTGTTTACATTATTAGTTTAGTGTTCCATTATAGAGGTGTTCCATTATAGTGGTGCATTTTAGTGGCGGTGTTACAATAGAGTGGTGTTACAATCCAATAGACCTTACCCTACAGACCTTACCTGACAGACCTTACCCAACAGACCTTACCCAACAAACCTTACCTAACAGACCTTACCCTACAGACCATACCCAACAGACCATACCCAACAGACCTTACCCAACAGACCTTATCCAACAGACCTTATCCAACAGACCTTACCCAACAGACCTTACCCAACAGACCTTACCCAACAGACCTTACCCAACAGACCATACCCAACAGACCTTTCCCAACAGACTTTACCCAACTGACCATACCCAACAGACCTTACCCAACAGACCTTACCCAACAGACCTTACCCAACAGACCTTACCCAACAGACCTTATCTAGCCGTGACTACAAAGGGGTGAGTAATGTCTATGGCTCTATTTTTTGGCCTTAAAGTTAGGGACTGAGGTGGTTTTCTCCCGTGCATTGTTGACCCCCCGTACACTGTACGTGTTGACCCCCGTACACTGTACGTGTTGACCCCCGTACACTGTAAGTGTTGACCCCCGTACACTGTACATGTTGACCCCCGTACACTGTACGTGTTGACCCCCGTACACTGTACGTGTTGACCCCCGTACACTGTACGTGTTGACCCCCGTACACTGTACGTGTTGACCCCCGTACACTGTACGTGTTGACCCCCGTACACTGTACGTGTTGACCCCCGTACACTGTACGTGTTGACCCCCGTACACTGTACGTGTTGACCCCCGTACACTGTACGTGTTGACCCCCGTACACTGTACGTGTTGACCCCCGTACACTGTACGTGTTGACCCCCGTACACTGTAAGTGTTGACCCCCGTTGAGTGTTGACCCCCCGTACACTGTACGTGTTGACCCCCGTACACTGTACGTGTTGACCCCCGTACACTGTAAGTGTGACCCCCCGTACATTGTAAGTGTTGACCCCCCGTACACTGTACGTGTTGACCCCCGTACACTGTACGTGTTGACCCCCCGTACACTGTAAGTGTTGACCCCCCGTACACTGTACGTGTTGACCCCCGTACACTGTACGTGTTGACCCCCGTACACTGTAAGTGTTGACCACCGTACACTGTACATGTTGACCCCCGTACACTGTAAGTGTTGACCCCCGTACACTGTACGTGTTGACCCCCCGTACACTGTAAGTGTTGACCCCCGTACACTGTACGTGTTGACCCCCGTACACTGTACATGTTGACCCCCGTACACTGTACATGTTGACCCCCGTACACTGTACATGTTGACCCCCGTACACTGTAAGTGTTGACCCCCGTACACTGTACGTGTTGACCCCCGTACACTGTAAGTGTTGACCCCCGTACACTGTACGTGTTGAGCCCCGTACACTGTACATGTTGACCCCCGTACACTGTACGTGTTGACCCCCGTACACTGTACGTGTTGACCCCCCGTACACTGTAAGTGTTGACCCCCGTACACTGTAAGTGTTGACCCCCCGTACACTGTAAGTGTTGACCCCCCGTACATTGTAAGTGTTGACCCCCCGTACACTGTACGTGTTGAACCCCGTACACTGTAAGTGTTGACCCCCCGTACACTGTAAGTGTTGACCCCCCGTACACTGTACGTGTTGACCCCCGTACACTGTAAGTGTTGACCCCCCGTACACTGTATGTGTTGACCCCCCGTACACTGTACGTGTTGACCCCCGTACACTGTAAGTGTTGACCCCCGTACACTGTAAGTGTTGACCCCCCGTACACTGTACGTGTTGACCCCCCGTACACTGTAAGTGTTGACCCCCCGTACACTGTACGTGTTGACCCCCCGTACACTGTACGTGTTGACCCCCCGTACACTGTACGTGTTGACCCCCGTACACTGTACATGTTGACCCCCGTACACTGTACGTGTTGACCCCCGTACACTGTAAGTGTTGACCCCCCGTACACTGTACGTGTTGACCCCCCGTACACTGTAAGTGTTGACCCCCGTACACTGTACGTGTTGACCCCGTACACTGTAAGTGTTGACCCCCGTACACTGTAAGTGTTGACCCCCCGTACACTGTACGTGTTGACCCCCCGTACACTGTACGTGTTGACCCCCGTACACTGTACGTGTTGACCCCCGTACACTGTTAGTGTTGACCCCCCGTACACTGTAAGTGTTGACCCCCGTACACTGTAAGTGTTGACCCCCGTACACTGTAAGTGTTGACCCCCCGTACACTGTACGTGTTGACCCCGTACACTGTAAGTGTTGACCCCCGTACACTGTAAGTGTTGACCCCCGTACACTGTAAGTGTTGACCCCCGTACACTGTACGTGTTGACCCCCGTACACTGTAAGTGTTGACCCCCGTACACTGTAAGTGTTGACCCCCCGTACACTGTAGTGTTGACCAGTACACTGTAGTGTTGACCAGTACACTGTAGTGTTGACCAGTACACTGTAGTGTTGACCAGTACACTGTAGTGTTGACCAGTACACTGTAGTGTTGACCAGTACACTGTAGTGTTGACCAGTACACTGTAGTGTTGACCAGTACACTGTAGTGTTGACCAGTACACTGTAGTGTTGACCAGTACACTGTAAGTGTTGACCCCCCGTACACTGTAAGTGTTGACCCCCCGTACACTGTAAGTGTTGACCCCCCGTACACTGTAAGTGTTGACCCCCGTACACTGTACATGTTGACCACCGTACACTGTACGTGTTGACCCCCCGTACACTGTAAGTGTTGACCCCCGTACACTGTAAGTGTTGACCCCCGTACACTGTACGTGTTGACCCCCCGTACACTGTAAGTGTTGACCCCCGTACACTGTAAGTGTTGACCCCCCGTACACTGTAAGTGTTGACCCCCCGTACACTGTAAGTGTTGACCCCCGTACACTGTACATGTTGACCACCGTACAGTGTACGTGAGATTGGGTTGATTGGTTCTTCCTAAAGATGTGCAGTGATTGGTTCTTCCTAATGATGCGCAGTGATTGATTCTTGCTAATGATGTGCAGTGATTGGTTCTTCCTAATGATGTGCAGTGATTGGTTCTTGCTAATGATGTGCAGTGATTGGTTCTTCGTAATGATGTGCAGTGATTGGTTCTTGCTAATGATGTGCAGTGATTAGTTCTTCCTAATGATGTGCAGTGATTGGTTCTTGCTAATGATGTGCAGTGATTGGTTCTTGCTAATGATGCGTAGTGATTGGTTCTTCCTAAAGATGTGCAGTGATTGGTTCTTCCTAAAGATGTGCAGTGATTGGTTCTTCCTAAAGATGTGCAGTGATTGGTTCTTCCTAAAGATGCGCAGTGATTGGTTCTTCCTAAAGGTGTGCAGTGAATGGTTCTTCCTAAAGATGTGCAGTGATTGGTTCTTCCTAAAGATGTGCAGTGATTGGTTCTTCCTAAAGATGTGCAGTGATTGGTTCTTCCTAAAGATGTGCATTGATTGGTTCTTCCTAAATATGTGCAGTGATTGGTTCTTCCTAAAGATGTGCAGTGATTGGTTCTTCCTAAAGATGTGCAGTGATTGGTTCTTCCTAAAGATGTGCAGTGATTGGTTCTTCCTAAAGATGTGCAGTGATTGGTTCTTCCTAAAGATGTGCAGTGATTGGTTCTTCCTAAAGATGTGCAGTGATTGGTTCTTCCTAAAGATGTGCAGTGATTGGTTCTTCCTAAAGATGTGCAGTGATTGGTTCTTCCTAAAGATGTGCAGTGATTGGTTCTTCCTAAAGATGTGCAGTGATTGGTTCTTCCTAAAGATGTGCAGTGATTGGTTCTTCCTAAAGATGTGCAGTGATTGGTTCTTCCTAAAGATGTGCAGTGATTGGTTCTTCCTAAAGATGTGCAGTGATTGGTTCTTCCTAAAAAGTTCTTCCTAAAGATGTGCAGTGATTGGTTCTTCCTAAAATGTGCAGTGTGATGTGCAGTTGGTTCTTCCTAAAGATGTGCAGTGATTGGTTCTTCCTAAGATGTGCAGTGATTGCTAAAGATGTGCAGTGATTGGTTCTTCCTAAAGATGTGCAGTGATTGGTTCTTCCTAAAGATGTGCAGTGATTGGTTCTTCCTAAAGATGTGCAGTGATTGGTTCTTCCTAAAGATGTGCAGTGAATGGTTCTTCCTAAAGATGTGCAGTGATTGGTTCTTCCTAAAGATGTGCAGTGATTGGTTCTTCCTAAAGATGTGCAGTGATTGGTTCTTCCTAAAGATGTGCATTGATTGGTTCTTCCTAAAGATGTGCAGTGATTGGTTCTTCCTAAAGATGTGCAGTGATTGGTTCTTCCTAAAGATGTGCAGTGATTGGTTCTTCCTAAAGATGTGCAGTGATTGGTTCTTCCTAAAGATGTGCAGTGATTGGTTCTTCCTAAAGATGTGCAGTGATTGGTTCTTCCTAAAGATGTGCAGTGATTGGTTCTTCCTAAAGATGTGCAGTGATTGGTTCTTCCTAAAGATGTGCTCTCTCTAGTTTATTTATTTATTTATTTATTTATTTATCTTCAACAAGGTACATTGGGTTGAGAAAGTAAAGGTTGGTGTTGTAATATTCTTGCAAAGTCATCAACATGTACACAGTTTGGGACAGATTAATGTCATATTACTGACGAATGAGAACTTGAATTGAGGAATTGGGAAAATGAGAAAAGTGAGAGGAGAGGGGAGGGGCGGTACGAAGGGGAATGACGGGAGGTAAATTGAGAAGGGAAAGGAAAAAGTGAAGGGAATGAGCGGGATGGGAAAGAGGGTTAGGTGGATGGATGGGGAATTGTGGATTGGGTTGGGGGGCGGGGGTTGGGGTATTGGATAATGGGGGGAGGAGAGGGTGTGGGGATAGGGGGGGGGGAAGGGAGCGGAGATGGCCGTCTTGGCTAAAAGCGCCGAGCTGTCTGCCCGCCACCCGCCCTGTTCTTGTACATATTACATCATCAAGCAAAAATGGTGTGTCCCTGCTCACCTATCATCCCGCCGCTCGCCTCAATATACACTGACTGCTCTCTCTCTCTCTCTCCTCTGCTTTATATATATTTGGTAATCGCGGATGGGATTAAATAACTTCAGCTTATCGCGAATGTTTGTTAATCTATAGTCAAGGTTTATTGTTAGTAACATATACATGACTTAGTTATGAAAGGCACAACAATTTTATTCCTATTTGTACGAGGGATGCACAGCTGTAGCCAATGAGAGTCATCCTACCACCTGTCTGCCTGATCAATACAACGTCCAAACAACTTCTCCCTCTCCTTGTTTCAATACACTATAAATAGCAAGAATCAATAAAGGAGATGATGAATATTTTGGTAAATAGAAGAAGTGTAAGAGGGGTTAGAAATAGAGTGGTAGAGGAAGGTAGAGGAGTGGTTGTGGTGAGTGGCCGCCTCGGAAGAGTTGGCAGCCATGCCGGCTCTCCACACCACATGGTTCACTCTTGCCACCACCCTCACACACATTCTAATATTTGTATTTTTATTATTCCCTCATTTCTTCGTTCATGTCATCATTATCACTCATACCCGCTTTGTTGTTATGCGGTAGACTCTAAGGTATAACGGGGCATTAATAAAGGCTGAAACATAAGATAAAAATAGTTAATAAAAAATTCTTGGTGTTGTGTGGTGGCGGTTCTCAGGGGGAGGGGAGGGGGGAGGAGGGAGGAGCAAAGTTGGCCTTGAACTTGGGACTGTATTTTTACTCTCCCTCTCAAGTGACCAGGTCTTCTTCCGCGCTTTCTTTATCTTTCATGGCCCTTCCATTATATCCTTTTGCCCATTTTCATCACTACACGAACCACTCACCTAACACGCGAACAGTAACACACTTGCGACACTTCAACAGGTATCCTTATAGAAGAGTGGCAAGACTGGGACACATTTGGCCCACTCCAATATTGACTGGAGTGCTGCGTGTCAATGGAAGACTAAATCTTCAGCAATAGATGAGCGACGGTTGTTTACACCCGGGCTCACACGCTCTCCACCAGTACTCTTTGTTGTTGTTGGTGGTGGTGGTGGTGGAGAAATGTAAGGCGAGGAAAGGTGGCTGTAATAGGCTCAGTCGGACGCCGCCAGGCACGGAAGTGGGGGTCAGGCCCCACCCCCCCTTCCTGTCTAACTCCACCACCCCCTCCTGTCTTACTCCACCCCCCCCTTCCTGTCTAACTCCACCACCCCCTCCTGTCTTACTCCACCCCCTCCTGTCTTACTCCACTACCCCCTCCTGTCTTACTCCACTACCCCTTCCTGTCTTACTCCACTACCCCCTCCTGTCTTACTCCACTACCCCCTCCTGTCTTACTCCACCACCCCTCCTGTCTTACTCCACTACCCCCTCCTGTCTTACTCCACTACCCCCTCCTGTCTTACTCCACTACCCCTCCTGTCTTACTCCACCACCCCCCTCCTGTCTTATTCCACTACCCCCTCCTGTCTCACTCCACCCCCACCTGTCTTACTCCACTACCCCCTCCTGTCTTACTCCACTACCCCCTCCTGTCTTACTCCACTACCCCCTCCTGTCTTACTCCACCACCCCTCCTGTCTTACTCCACTACCCCCTCCTGTCTTACTCCACCACCCCCTCCTGTCTTACTCCACCCCCTCCTGTCTTACTCCACTACCCCCTCCTGTCTTACTCCACTACCCCTTCCTGTCTTACTCCACTACCCCCTCCTGTCTTACTCCACTACCCCCTCCTGTCTTACTCCACCACCCCTCCTGTCTTACTCCACTACCCCCTCCTGTCTTACTCCACTACCCCCTCCTGTCTTACTCCACTACCC